TTCGGGTTCGACCCCGACGAGGGAACGCCGTCGACCGGAATCGTGTACGCGATCTACACGATCGGAAACATCGTGGGCTCGTTCACGCCGGCCCCTTTACTGACTTCAAAGGTACAACACCCCCTTTTCTTTTTTTTTTTTCCCGTGCATGCCATCCCCGGCTAAGTCCTGTCCCATAGGTCGTCGCGTCGGCATGGCCCTCGGCTCCATCTTCATCATCATCGGAACCATCGTCCAGGCCACCTGCCACAACCTGGGCGGCTTCATGGCCGGCCGCTTCATCCTGGGTTTCGGCGTCGCCACCTCCGCCACCGCCGGTCCAGCATACGTCTCGGAGATGGCCCATCCCGCGTATCGAGGTGCCATGACGGGTCTATACAACGTGCTGTGGTTTGGCGGTGGTATCCCAGGGACCTTCATCCCGTGGCGGACAAGCGATATCGAGGGCACAATGAGCTGGCGGATTCCGATCTGGCTGCAGATGATCTTTTCAGGGCTGGTGCTGTTGTTCTGCTTCACTGTTCCAGAGGTAGGCTGCCTATCACATCCCCCCCCCCCCCCGGTTGGAGAAACCAACAAGAGCGACGCTGACAGCCATGCAGTCCCCCCGTTGGCTCATTTCGCAAGACAAGCACGAAGCCGCGCTGAAGGTGCTGGCCGACTACCACGGCGAGGGCGACCGCAACGCGCCGATCGTGCAGCTCGAGTACCGGGAGATGCTGGAGGACATTTCCAAGACCGGATCTGACAAGCGCTGGTGGGACTACCGGGAGCTGTTCAACAGTCGTGAGACGCGGTATCGATCGATGCTGGTGATCTTCATGGGTACGTACATACCGCACCACACATAGCTCCTCCAACACACCACCACCTTGCCAGCAATGACCAGCTAACGGAACCTCCATGATAGCTTTCTTCGGCCAGTGGTCCGGCAACGGCCCTGTGTCCTACTACTATCCGCAGATGCTGCGCGGCGCAGGCATCGAGAACAACAACACCCGGCTGCTGCTGCAAGGACTCCAGAACGTCGTGCAGTTCATCGGCGCCGTGTTCGGCGCGCTCATCACCGATCGCGTCGGTCGTCGGCCCCAGCTGCTTGTCTCCACCGGGCTCATCGTCATCCTCTTCGCCATCGTGCTGGCCCTCAACGCAACCAACGTCGTCGACGGCCCGGACGGCGAGCCCATCGCCAAGAGTGGCATCACAGCCCGCGCCCAAATCGCCATGATCTTCATCTTCGGGTTCGTGTACTCGGCCGGTTGGACGCCGAACCAGGCCATGTATCCGGTGGAGTGTCTGCGCTATGAAAGTCGGGCTAAGGGGATGGGCATGAACAACGTACGTATCATCCTAGCTGACCCATGCGTTTACCCCAATCCCATAAGAAAACAATCCAAAACAAACCCAAGAAAGCAAAAGAACCCAAGAAAACAAAAGAACCTAAGAAAAAGAAGAGAGAAGAAACTAACAAACAAACCCCCAGTTCTTCGTCAACATCGCCTCCTTCTACAACACCTTCGTGACCGGCATCGCCTTCTCGGGCGCGGGCTGGAAATACTACTTCCTGTTCATCTTCTGGGACACGTTCGAGTTCATCATCATCTACTTCCTATTCGTGGAGACGAGCAAGCGCACGCTGGAGGAACTGACGGCGATCTTCCAGGCCAAGAGCCCGCTCAAGGCGTCGTTGAAAAAGGACGAGGTCTTCGTGGCGAGTGACGGGGTGGCGGCGATCCAGAAGGAGGTTTAATTATTTTATCATTTTGATTTTTATTCTAAGCATTTTATACGAGGAGTGCTCGTATAAGGTTATTGCGAAGTGGGTTTGTTGGGACGGGAGGGATTTTATATTAATCTCATTTTAAATTATTTAGGGTGTTGGGACCCACTGGTTCTTTTCTTTGATTTGCTTTTAGGATCTTTTATTATATTTTATTTTTGTGAGTCTGGTAAATTAATCTATAGCTGGTTATCATGAGCTTGTCTAATGTCTTTGTACATATGTTGTATCTATCTATCTATCTATCAACTAGGTATCTGTGTGTATGGTATATATATATCCCAGGGTAAATCAATAAAAATAAAAATAAAAACAAAGGAAAGGAAATGAAAGAAGTACCTAATATCCACAAAAGAAAAAAAAAAAACCCGCCGGCCCAATACAAAAAACCTACTACCTACTACTAGTACTCCTGACAATCGTCTCCCTCACAACCTTAATCCCCTCCTGACTGCCGCGACTCTCCTCGTCCCACGTCCCCGCCTCACAGATGGTCGCCTCCGACCTCGGCAGGATCGTCTGCTCATCGTGGTACTGCGTATCCGGCAACGACAGCGGATGCCTGAACTTCCGTTTCCGGTTACTGCTGTGCATGGTGCTCTTCGAGTTGGCCGCCCCGGCCCCGGGCACCTCGCTGTCGGTCAGCGGGTAGCTGTTTGCGCTGACGCCCTTGGTGCTGATGTACCAGCCGGCGCGGCGCGCGATGCGGCGACACAGCGGGTAGATCATCGGCGCGTTGCCGATGATCACGGCCACGAAGGTCTCGCGACAGGCCCAGCTGCCGGCTTGTTGGGCGCCGTTTGCACCGGCCTGGTGTTGTTCAGGTATTTGTTAGCTTTGGGGGAATTGGGTGGTTGAGTTGGGGGAGGGGGAAGGGGAGGGAATTGTTACCGTGACGATTAACACGCAGCGCAGGATGCCGGCGGCCATGACGAAGATTCCGCCGCTGAAGAGGATGAGGAGCTCGAGCTTTTCGCGCCAGGGGAGACGGGCTTTGAAGAGCATCTTTTTTTGCGGACGGTCTGTTAGCTGGATGTACTTGTAATGGGGTTGTGTAGTGTCGTTGCAGGAAGACATACCGGGGTTGGGATCGAGATCAAGTACACGTCTGTCGCGACATTCAAGGTCACAGTCACGTAGACGTCGATGTGCGACACCGCGGGCTGGCAGTAGTTGCCCGGGTCCGGGTATATCTGCCAGTTCTTGTGCATGGGATGACAGCCGAACAGGATCGAGCAGATGACGGCGATGTAGGTGGCGCCGATGAGGACGTAGGCGATCTGCACCCGCCGATGCATGTTGATCAGGCCGGCGCTGGAGTTTTCCATGGATTAGCTACGTTTTTTTTTTTTCTTTTCTTTCTTTCCTTTTGCTATGCGAATGATGTGGAGGATGGTCAATGTATGCCCTCGGTGGGGAAGCGTACGTCAATCGTGAGTAGAAGATCGCCATGCAGGCCTTCAACAACCACAGCAGGGTTGTATACAGCGACCACCCCAGGACCTGGGTCTTGGAGCCGCCCACGCGTAGCCGGTATTCTTCCGAGGTGGGAGACAGCGTGGCTCGCTGCTCGTCGGTCATGGCGTTGTTGGCCAGACCCATCCACCACGCGCCCACACAATACGCGGCGCCCGTTTCCAGCCCGTAAACCACCTGTTTTGTCTCATGAGTACCCTGGGTGGTATGTTCTGGTGGGAGAGGAATGGGGGAGCATACCCCCGCTAAGGGCATTAGAAAGTCATCGAGCTGGAAATTCCTCGGTCCAGCGGTGATCCATCGTGCAGCGATGCGGATGGCGATGGCGACAATGGCGATGCTGAGGAGGGTGAAGGCTTCGATGGTAAAGTCGTCACCAGCCATGATGGCAGTCAGGACGTCTGTGCGACACTCGGATCATAGGAGAGGGAGGGGGGGGGGGAGGAAGATCAGGAGAGGCAATGGGCTGATCTATGGGTGATAAAAGTAGTTTTATAACTGGATGGGTGCGCAGGCCGGAAGGCCGGGGGGCACGGAAGATCGATGTATCTATCCAGGGGGATACCGGTCGAAATCAACTCCCGTCCAACTACCACATGGCCCGATAGGTTGGGTCTGGATGACCGTTGCAGGTTGGCAGCGGGGACGCCAAACGCTTGTCCGGTGCGTCTGTCTTCATTCCTTCTCCTAATGAATGACAATAGGGTTACCGGTTCGGGCAGTCGTGGTGGTTCCCGACGTTTGGCCATGGACTATCAGTGGATCGTTCGTTGCGTGAACCGAGATTACTCTGCCTATTACTATTTATACGGAGTATTTTCCTGGGGGGAGGGAGAGGGGGGGGGGATTGCTATCGCTTAAGCACTGCTAGGGCTAGTTGGCTGCAAGGACCGTTAGGGTTTGTGATGCATTCGCTGGCGATCTCCCTTGTTGGATGGATAGCTGACATTCTACGCCAATCTGATGTGATACTCGACATCTCGCATGAACCTCTGTCAGCTTTTGACTTTGGAGAGAAAGTGTAACACAAATTGTTTCGTGCAGACGTCCAGCGTGGATCGTTGGGCTGTCAACTTCCAGGGTGAAGTATGACGAGCTCCACCCCTCATGAATACTTCGGTCATACTAAGTCCTACTCAGTCCTACTCAGACTAAGAGGTTCCACCTGAAACGACGACCCATAGGCTAAGCCGCCAGTGCAGAAGCGGGAGAATTCCCAATGATAACCTGTCAAGCGGCCACAGCTCCACCGATTCTCCTCGCCGTCGTCGTCCTTTCCCTCTTTTGAATGCCGACGCCGCTTTAGCCAGTCACTAGGCCCAAGTTAACGCTGGCGCGATGCAACCACGCTTCTTCTAATTTTCCTAATTGTCGAGTCTCCGTGCGCCCTCATTAAAAAAACTCTTTTCCTGGGCCATCTCGCCATGTCTGTGGCTGTCGGACGGATGGGTCGGCCGTCGACCGTTTTTTTTTTTTTTTCTTTTTCTTTTCTCTTCTTTTTTTTCCCTCTTCCTGGTCCCCGGGGAATGAGGGTAAATTCCGCGATCGGCAGACTGTTATACATGGAGTCCTCAACTAGTATTATAATTCCGTCGGTGTCACTCCACCCGGGCTCCCCCTCGCTGCTCTTTAAATTCCCTCCATAGCCATTGCGGGGAGCGGCGTTCAGCTAAAAAAGAAACAAAAATCTCCCTGAAACTAATCCTGCAACAATTGCATTGCATGTCCCTGTGACTGAATCACCATGGAGACTGTGGACGTGACAGTCATCGGAGCGGGTATGTCCACACGTCGGAATGGATACGTCGCAAAACACCAACTCACATCACATCACCAGGATGGAGTGGCCTCGCGGCCCTCAAGACCTACCAGCAGGTTGACCCCTCTGCCTCGATTGTTCTGTTCGAGAGCGCGGCCTCGGTCGGCGGCGTCTGGGCCAAGCACCGCCTGTATGCCGGCCTCAAATCCAACAACATGCTGGGCACCTACGAGTTCAGCGACTTCCCCATGGACGCCTCGTTCGGCGTTCAGCCCGGCCAGCATATCCCGGGCACGGTGATCCAGACGTACATGGAGCGCTTTGTCGAGCACTTCCAGCTCGCGCCGTTCATCCGCCTGAACACGCGCGTGCGCATCGCGGAACATAACTCCGACGGAACCTGGACTCTAACCATCGACGACGCCAACGGCGAGAGGACCGTCGTGAGCAAAAAGCTCATCGTCTGCACCGGCATCACCTCCCAGCCCTACCTGCCCACCCTCTCGGGCCAGGACACCTTTGATGCGCCTCTCTTCCACTGTCGCGACCTGCCCCAGCACCAAGACGCCCTGCTGCAACCCAACAAGCGCATCACCGTCTTCGGCGGCACCAAGTCCGCCTGGGATGCCGTCTATGCCGCCGCCACCGCCGGCGCCCACGTCGACTGGATCATCCGCGACAACGGTCACGGCCCCGTCTGGATGGCGCCCGCCTACGTGACGCCGCTGAAAAAATGGCTCGAGAAGCTGGTCACCACACGGCTCCTCACCTGGTTCAGCCCGTGTATCTGGGGCGACGCCGACGGGTGCAGCCCGATCCGCAACTTCCTGCACGGCACCTGGCTGGGCCGCAAGATCGTCGACACCTTCTGGGCCATCCTGGGCAACGACGTGATCACGCTGAACAAATTCGACGCACACCCGAAACCCGCAAGCTGAAGCCCTGGGTCAGCCCGTTCTGGGTCGCCTCGGGGCTCAGTATCCTCAACTACCCGACCAACTTCTTCGACCTCGTCACCGAAGGCAAAGTCCGCATCCACATCGACCACATCACCCATCTCACAGCCCAGACCGTCCACCTGGCCTCCGCGGGCCCCATCCCCTCCGACACCCTCATCTGCGCCACGGGCTGGCAAGCCACCCCCAACATCGACTTCCGGCCCTCGCACCTGCCCCAAACCCTCGGCTTCCCCTGGGCCGAAGACCCCATCCCGCAATCCGTCATCCAGCAAGCCGACGCAGAAATCCTCACCCGCTTCCCGCGACTCGCCATCCCACCCCCAAAACCACACAACTACACCCCGCTCGCCCCCGACGCCCCCGCAACAGCAAAACACCCCTTCCGCCTCGCCCGCTTCATGGTGCCCCCGGCCCTGGCCCCCGCCCGATCAATCGCCTTCATGGGCCTCGCCATGACCATCAACACCACCATGCTGGCCCAGGCGCAAGCCTCTGGATCGCGGCCTACTTCACCGACAACCTCACCCCAACCCCGCGGGAACAATGCCCCGCCCGTCTCCGGAAGACCCTCGAGCAGGACACCAACGTCGACGCAGACCTGGTCTGGGAAACAGCCCTGCACTCACAGTTCGGGGTGCATCGCTACCGCGGCGGGTTCGGGAAACGCAACCCGGATTTTGTGTTCGATGCCGTGCCGTATGTGGATTTGTTGCTCCGGGATCTTGGCCTGGATTACACCCGGAAGGAGGGCGGGTTGAAGTGGTTGGTACCGTACGGGGTGGAGGATTATCGGGGGTTGGTGGAGGAGTGGGTTGGCGCTCGGGATGCGGTTGGGAAGAAGGATAATTGATTGACTCATGGATTGTGATTATGATTGTGGATGGGGATGTGTATATACCCTGTTGTGATTCGCTTGTGTGGAGTAAGGCGACTGTTGTATTCGTAGTTAGTATTTGTGTTAATGTTGAGGTTTTGCGGTGATTTGTGATGATTTGGTGGGTTTGTTCTGTTGTATCGTCTGTAGTATGTGTAGGGGTTGGCGTGTTTTGTTTGTTTGTTGTAGTGGTTTACCTCCAGTGTCGGGTTGGTTGCTCTACTACTACTAGTATCTTGGTTGAGACAGGACCTCGCATTATGTATCGTTCTATTCGGAATCAATTTCGGAATACATTTAGGGCTATGCTATCAGTGTATTCACTGCAAGGAGACTAGACTCATTCCGAAATCAATTTGCCATCAAATACGGATCCCAATAGTCTCCTACAACGCCTCTACCTACATACGTGTACATACATCCGGCTATCCCTCGCTGATGCCAAACCATTCACAAGATATCAAGAAAGAAAAAAAATAAATAAGCAATCAATCGTCCCAACCGAACCGCTCGCCAAGTACATACAGGCCAAATACAAGCATCACGGAGCGTACACAAGAGAATTAGAACAATAAAGTCGAGAGGTGAGGTCGAGAGAGGTATGTCGATTCGGGTGGGGGAGTTTATGGGGGTCGGTCGAGATCAAGGGGGGAAACAAGAACAGAGACAGCCTAAACCGACAAGCCATGGTCCAGGTCTTTGTCCTCCTGTTTCACCGATTCACTCTCCTGTTTCGGGGTCGTGTCGGACACGTCCTTGCCGCATCCCTTGACGAGAATATGTCGCTGCTTCAGTTAGTCTTTGTTTTGACTCAAAAAAAAAACCCACATTGGCTTTCCACGGATCTTACCTTCAAGGCATCCTTGCGAGAGAAGCTTTTATCGCAATGATGGCAGGGGAACGGCTTCACGGACAGATGGATCCGTTTATGTCGCTTCAGGTCGTGGTTCCGGTTGAAACTCTGCGGACACTGGTCGCACTTGAACGGTCGATCGTTCGTCGGACCGGAGGCGTGGCCCGCGTGCGATGGATGCCCGCCGTACATCTGTTGCATGGCCAATTGGCCGCTGTTGTACCCCAGCAGGCCCGGTTGCAGATTACCGACGAGTGACATCTGTCCGTTCGGATTGTGCACGTTCGTCATCACGGGTCCGTTCATCGCGGGTAACGAATATGAGGGCCACGGCTGTCGCTGGTAGTTGAGATGATGTGGCGGCGGGTTGGACGCCACCCGTCCGGGGGGATGAATCGCTAGGCTGGTCTGGCCGTAGGGGGCATAGGCCCCCGCGGGATTGGACATCTGTTGGATTCCGGTGTAGGCGGGAGCGGACGAGGATTTCGTCATGTACGGGTCGTTCGAGGGGAGCGGCGGCGGGGCCGGCGGCGGATTGGGGATCGCATTGTGCCCCGTGAGCATCGCATGCGTCAGGGCATGGTGCTGCGCGTTCGGGCCCGGCATACTCGATGCGAGTGGTTGCTGAAAGGGAGGGAGGTGGTGGTTCATGTCGTACGGCTGGCTGGGGATGGCCTCGGTCCCGGGTGGTGAGGTCACCGAATTTCGATGGAGATGGTTCACGGAGGGGGAGAAGGTGTCGCGCGGCGGGTACGGATTCACGGCCGCGCTCCAGGACTGACGGGGCGCAGCGGACGCAGCGGTGTACGAACTCTGGCCCGGCCAGTAGGCGGGCGCATAGGACGGATCGGGGGATGCAGAGACCGCGGCGGTTGTCACGGCGGTGGTGGTCGGTACCGGTGTCTCACCAGACTGCGTCGAGGCGGGCGGCGTCAGAAGGCTATTGACACTGTGATTGTTCGCGGGCTGTGGATGCGCCGGCTGGGGGTGATACTTCACGCCGAGATGAAAGTTCGGGGGCGGCAGCTCAAAGCTGGGGAGGGACGGCGCCGCCGGTCGACGGGAATTCAACGGCTGAGAGGCAGTCAACGCATCCAGCGCTGTCCCCATGCCCGGTGGCGGAACCGCTAGGGCAGCCAGGTTGGCGGTGGTGTCGCGCGAGAACCCGAGCGGGTGATACAGATCGGCCGTCTCCACGGGCGGCGGATGGGCCAAGGTCGAGGTCAGCGTGCCGGCGGAATATCCCGTATCGCCTCCGATTGCCCAGTATCGATTGCCAGACAGGCCCCCAGAGACGTCTGGAGGATCCAGGAGGGGCGATGATCGCGGTTCAGCGATCGACACGGATCACGAACGGAGAAGAGAGATGCGATTCGGAGGGTGTGACGGACTCTAACGGATTCGATTCTCGTTGTCGCGGGCTCAAATCGACTGGAATGGAATGGCGTGTGGTGCGCGAGGTTTGTTCCAACCCAATTCTTTACACGGGAGGCATATCCTGGCGGTGGATGATAAGTCGGCAATCACCGATAACGCAGAATCCACGAGGGGAAGAAAAAAAAACAAAAGCGTCAGCAGCACTCGGGGCGAAGTCAGGACAGCCGCATGGCCCGTTGTGGAATCGATACAACGATCAAACGATCACACCGATGAATGGGTGACGGGTGGAATGCTATAGATCGAATGGAGCGGGATGGCACCGATCGAGAGTCTGTGTGCGGAGACGGGACAAGTTTTAAGGGAGCGATCGACGGATTAGTTGAATGAGGCTCGACTGGCAGCGTGGTCGCGCGTGGTTGCGTGAGAAATTGGGGATGGAGGAAGAAACGGATGAAAAGGTGTAGTGAAGGAGAAGTGGAATGAAAGAAAAGGGCCGCGGTGGTGGGAATATGACTGTTATTATTATTATTTTATTTTTCTCACATTAGGATTTGGTTCTTGTATAGTCCGAACCGGCGTATCAATGATTAAGGTGAAGGACAGGACCACCAACCCAAAAAAAGCGAGAACCAAACCCCAGCAAGAATGGGGACGTATCCAGACCAGTCCAGCGCCCGGTCTGGCCAGCGCGGGGACGGCGAAAGGAACAGTGCTCGTCGGGTTTGAAAATTAAAATTAAAATCGAAAAAGAATTGACCAGAAAAAAAAAGGAAAAGGAAAAGGAAAAAACCGAAAAATAAAAAGATTAATCACTAGCGAAACAATAAGAAGGTCAAATATTACCTGACTGTTCCAAAAACCTGGAAAATTCCAAAAGACTTTTTTTTTCTTTTCTTTTCTTTTTTTCTTTCCCTTTTTTGCTTTTCTTATTCTTGTCTTTTTCTTTTCTTTTTTTTTTTTTTTCTTTTTCGAATGAGAAAAGTGAATCAACACCGGAGACTAACGCAGTTTCTGGTTTAGTTCGACCCGGATCAGATTTGGTCGACCAACCAGATTCCCAAGAATTTCCTCTTTTCTCTTTTCTTTTTCTTTCCCTCTCGGACCTTGCTTAGTTTTGACTAACTCGGTATGGCCCGGGAAATCGAGGAAAAGGAATGGGGAGTGTGTATGGAGGAAGAGGGGACGAGACAGAGCGAGGAGACACAGAGAGAAGAGAGAGAGAGAGAGAGATAGAGAGAGAGAGAGAGAGAAAAGGAAGAGAAGGTGTCCTGAGAAGGAAAAAGAATAATTCCCCAGAACCAACGGGAATTCCTGGGTAATTTAATCTATCACTGGATCATAAATAACTACTAGTAACGTATGTAATACTCGGACGAGGACGCTTTATAATTATAGCACCCCCAGCAGACGGTAATTAACAACTGATCAACACCGACAACGTGGTTGACAGGGCTCCAAAAGAGTCCACATCCACCTTTCGGTTTGTACCCACGGTCGAAAGCAACCTAAAAAAAGGTCGGTGTTAAGGTACGGTACTTCGTCCCTGTACCCTGAGGCTACCACGACGGAAGTATCCTTTCCCTTCTCCTCAGAACCAAAAAAAAAAAAAAAAAAGTTCTAGTAAGATGAGACGATTATGAATCATGTTCATATGAAAAGCTCGTGACCGTCTCCGCTGCCGGTTGGTGGTCGTTGCTTTCAATCTCTCTCCCATCATCATTAGATTAGATTAATAAGTTAGCGATGTATGGCTCTTACCGCATTGGGAAGACGTCGCATTGGGTGACCTCAACAACAGTCATCGTGCTCAACTTATGACTATCAGACTCTCCTTTATGCGGAGATTCTTTGTGCTCGTTGGATGATCAATGCTACATCTATCTACTAATAGTATCAACAGGAACAGGCCGGTGGAGTACTGCCCATCAAAAGTCCGCTGAAACTCAGCCGTCTCCTGAATGAATGTTTCCCTGTTTGGTGGAGCACGTCGAATAAGCTTAGCTACTGTGGTGGACGATCGATGCTGCGACTTGGGAGGGATCCGTGTTCGATCGACATCTGAGAGTACGCCGAAGTATCAGCGAGAAGAAAAAGAAAGCCAAAGGACATTCATATTCGCATTACATAATACGTCGATGGAAGCCAAACAACAGCCGGAAAAAGCAAAAAGAATAAAGATACAAGTGGACCTCGGTATGGATCCGATCGAGAAGAAAGAAAGAATCCTAGACCGATAAGCCAGAAAAGGGGTCACATAAGCGACTCTGTTTTTTCTTCTTTGATTTTCTCTTTTTTTTTCAGTGATTTATTTATCTATTTACTTCCTTGTTTATTCTGGTGATGGAGCTGAGCTATCTTTTCGATTCGGTCTAGTCCTAGGGAGGTCTTTTGATTTTATTCAATTTAATTTTATCTCTATACCCTTTTTTTTTCTTTCTCTTATTAATGTTGGTATGATTTCTTTTCCTGCTTGGTGGCCCTCCTTGCGTCCCGGAATGCATGGCAAATGGGGAATGGAGGGAGAGAGAAAGCTGACCAGCTGGAGCTATCATCTTCGTGACTACTAGTCAGTAGTACCTAAGCTAGGAAATATAATTAGTACTCGAACGGACGATACACACGGACCCTCACACAAGATGTATGTCTGTATGCACATAATCAGTGTTCCTGGAGTCCCCCTCCGTTCGTTGATGCTGCACTGCGACGAGTGAGAAGATTCACGGAGGCATTGTTTACACCCTGC